GCAGTGAAACACGCAACGCCTTCAGGACAAGGTGGCGGCGGCAACAATACCACAGTGAGAATAAAAGTTACGCCTTCTTTCTTTGTGTGAACATTTGGGCGGCGTTATGCAAATCTTCCGACACAGAGATGTAGACATGTGGGGGTGTGTTTAAACGAGTCGTTTTAGGATGGCGTGGCTGACTCTTAACTTTTATAAAGAATATCTCTTTGGATTTGAGACTTTAGTCTTTGCAACTTTACAGATCTTATTTATGCACCAAGAGCTTGTAACACTCCAAAGAGAAAGGAAAAATTGAAATCGCATCATATGACCCCTTTAAATTCATAAGGCCTGTGATTACAAAATGATTAAAGTCGGCATTTTGTGATGCTCCCGGTTGTCCTCATCTGACGACGGACATGGCTTACTTGAAGTCACTGTGTGTGTTGTTTTTGTAGGGGATCACCATGAAACCACTGGTTCAATGGCTTAAGGTTAAAAAGGCAACTCAGTCAGATCTGACACTCAATGGAAAAATGAACAACAGGGTAACCATCACTCACGACACATAGTGTACCCCTCTACTGCATCTTATTTTTTTGGGACATTTTAGTTTCCTGTTTCCGTAACAATGACTTTGTTTTTCAAAACTTGTTTATTATTACAAAAGCTACATTATAAAATCAAGTAATAATGATATACAGTAATATTAAATAAAATGACCTTTCTCCACTGCTGTACTGTCAAGACAAAAAAAATTATGAGTAATGTTACCCATCTCCAAGTGATAAACAAGCATTTCCATTACAAATATACAAAGTTTCTCTCTTAAAAACTTTCAAAATGCATTTTGTGGCCAGCTTGACATAGTCTATTAATGGAGTGTTATCACCTAACCTCAATATGTCTTTGTGAGCTGCTTTTCTTTCGGCCTGTAGAGTAAACATTTAGATGATTATTTGCTTATTTCTGTTAATCTCATTGTATTACAGCGCTTGGGTGAGGTAGGTGAGTAATAAAACTAGACAGTAATGGCTGAACGTATGAGTATGCTGTTTGGACCGATAAACCGCACAACCGAATCAGTTGAACGAGCGAGTCTTTTACGCTGGAACCCCTCGATTCAGATTCAAACTTACAGTAGCTATAACTTGCGTTGCGACGTCGGTGATTCACACCGGTTCAACCGATTCAAATATCATTGCTTGTTCTGCGTCTGATTTTAAATAGCCGGAAGAGAAAAAATGACTCTCTTGCGTTTTGCAACGATACCCCGCACACTTATAAAACAAAACTACTTTGCTCCTGTAAATCTACATAATTTAAAAATATTGACGCAGCTCAATAGGCCAACTAAGAAATTATGTAGATAGGTAAATTCGCTACTGCTGGCTTATTATGGATAGAGTTTCTACCAGTGTTGCCAATTTAGCAGACTAAATTTTCAGACTACCCTAGCAACTTTTTCTTCCAAAAGCACCTAGCAACAAATTTAGCCATTTTTAAAAATTTATTTGGCAACATTTAGCAACTTTTAGCAACAAATCAACCTTCCTTTAGCAACTTCCCCTGAAAATTAGTTGGCAGCACTGGTTTCTACACTGCAAATATGATTTGGTCTATGCACAGTGGACAACATCTAAGTAGGCCTAGTGGTAATTTTAAACATCAAAACGTGAAGTAAAGGGTGATATAATTGTGTATGTCTTTATAGGCTTTTGAACACATACTGACAGCAATGGAGGACATCTGTGGCCGAATGGGAGATAATTGGTGGACCAGACAGTGAGCATTTCACTTTTCACAAACGTACATGTATAAAATTTGTTTGAGAATTTTTACTAATTTTCCCCCTACTCTTTCTTAGTTGGAAGCATTTTGACGACAAGTATGTCTGCTGGCTACTAATGAAGAGCGATGCCAGAGAGCACAATGACCCAATCTTTGGTGCCTTCCACAAACTCAATCTGGAGGATGCCTCTAAATACATCACTGAAGTGAGAGCAAAACTGCTGATTCTACATAGTATCACCAGTTTCTATTTCCAGTTTTCTGTACTGTTCTGTTGACATATCATCTACTGTCTATAGAGAATAATCTGAAGAATTAATGTGCTCAATTTTATTATTATTTTTTTTTTCACATTTAGGGTGAACGCAAAGGTTCTCTGGCTTTCATTCGTAATTATGACAGTGCCTCTGTCGACTTCAAGAAGAAGCTTGCTTTAGAGTATGCAGACATCATGCCTAATATTATGGCTGACATGTCAGAATATGATTTTGGCATTGACAATGTTCCAGTCACCTCTGTCATGTAAGTAGTTTGCCAAATGTATTTTAATTTTCCCAACTGAATGCAGTTCCTCTCTGTAAAGTGAAGTATAAATGTTTTATGAGGTTTTGAGAAAAGAGAAAAATGAAAAAATTGCACAAATAACTAGATGGCTCAAATGTGTTGTGAATGATAAATACATGTTGACAACAATTATTTGGTCGTCTTTCAATCTAGGAAGAACACTATTCCATCTGTATCCCTGGATATCCATGAGCAAGACAGGAAGAGCATGCCTAATGACCTCAGTGCCCATCATATACTAGATCAGCACCTGTACAAGAGCAGAAGAGATGTAAGAACTGTCCTGATCACTCAAACCACAATTAAAAATTTTTTTTTTTTTTACATGGAATATTGTTTCTTTATCAATATTTGGATGTCTTATCACAATACATCTGCCCAGTGGAAAATCTCATCACAATGCCATTCCATCCAAACCAATCCATTTCTCCTGTTTTTGACCAGAACCGTGCCACTTACAGCCGCAGTCACTATAACACCTCAGAGAATCCAGACGAAATGCAGGAGATCTTTCAAAGAACCATGAGAAGCCGCCTTGATTCCTTCAAATCGGCTAAGATGGGTGTTAACCCTGCGAAAAAACTCTCCAAACATCCCAAGAAGGATTCAACACACAAGGTATTAGACCTTCATGTCCTGCTGTCTACATTTAGTAAAAAAAAATCTTTTGAAATAGGGTTCAAAGCAGTGGCGTAGCAAGTCAGTCCCGGGCCCATCTGCAAAAACATTTGTACCACGCTTGCCACCCAGTAATCGCAATAGCTTGTGAAAAGTCAGAGCAGTCGAAACATAACATTTACCTCAGAAATGACAAATATAACGTTGCCAACATTGATTTATTATTTTCATAAATCAGTCAGTTAACCGCCACAGACCTTTTTTTATATTGAATATTATGACCCTAAAACACCTCCATATTTTCTAAATTACTTAAAGGGATAGTTCACCCAAAAATTAAAATTTGATGTTTATCTGCTTACCCCCAGGGCATCCCAGATGTAGGTGACTTTGTTTCTTCAGTAGAACACATATGATGATTTTTAACTTTAACAGTCTATGCAGTCGTATAATGCATGGCATTGGTAACAAAATCTATGAGAGTAAAAAAAACATGCACAGACAAATCCAAATTAAACCCTGCAGCTCAAACACATTCTTGGCACAGCGGCCCAAAATGCTGAAAGAAAGAAAGAAAGAAAGAGAAAAAGAAAACTACTTACTCGTTTTAGTTGCAATTAATTTAATTTAATTCTTCATGTATTTTTCGTGTATCTTTAATGCTTCGTGTATTCTCAGTGGAAAGAATGGCTCTCAGTGGAAAGAATGGCTAATTTTATACAATATTTGTATTTCTATTGTGTATTTTTAGCCTAATGGAAAGCCAGCGGACCCACACAGAACCCATCCATATGGAGATGAAGGTATATTTTTATATGCTTATTTAAGTACTGGAAGTATAATTTTAGCATGTATATAAATGTTATTTTGCTTTGTCCATTCAGATTTTGAGTTTTCTGCTGACAGCGCATCTAGCAGTGAAATTGCTGGTCATTTTCCCAGGAGAAGCACAAATGCACCTGGTGGTAAGAATCAAGCTACATACTGAATTCAAGTGACATATTAATGTCATGTTGTACATTTGAACCCTTTTCACATTTCTGGGGTTTTATAAAGCGGAAATCGTCAGTGATGAATGGAAACAAATTTAATTTGACATTCCCATTTGTTCCAATAGCAAAATAAAATTTCTATGACTTTACAAAAGAGGAGACTGATTGCATTAGTTGGAAGATTCTTAGAAACAGTCGTGCAGAAGTGTTAACTAGTTTTCTGTTACACAAGTATACTGTTGTAAATGTACATAAAAAAAAAGAAAAGAAAATATTAAAAACTTTGCTACATTTGCAGTGTTAATAACTGTGGAAAAGTGCCATCACAGTCTGTGAAAAGGATCCATATAAATTTACATTAAGTGTGCAAGTGTGTAGAAAATATATGTATTATTTTATGGTTGTTTCCATGGTGTCTCAGTTCAATATCATAATTACTCTAATTACTGCAGCTGGTGTTGATAATCCAGCGTTCATACCCGAGATGGACACCTCTCCACCCATGCGGAACCCACCCTGGCAAACAGAGACAGCAAACAACACGGCTGTGGCACCTTCCCAGAGAGCTCAGGGTCGACTGCCCTGGACGCCCACCAACCTGAGACATCTAGCGCCGCTGAGAATGAGCACACACTCCACAGACTCCTTAGCGTTGGCTGATGCTTCGGTTGATGACGAGGCGCCTGAGGAAAAGCCCGGAACACATCATACTAAATTGTAATCTGATATTGTTCCAGCAATAACCTGCCAAATTTGCGATTAGGTTAATCCTCTGCATTTCATTTTAGGCAGTTATGATGTCATGAGACCAGAGATTAAGGAATCATAGTGTCGAATCGTAGTATTCATCATATATCTTAAAAAATGTATATACACATGCAGCAGTTACTTGAAGTCACATTGCTATATATACATGCATACATATAAGCAAAGGGAAGAAAATAAATACAGATTTAGAAGAGACACTGTCATTGAAGTACTTATGTATGAGGTTATGGAATGCTCTTGAGGGTTTCTTTATAAATCCACATTGTTGTGGAAGCTGTTATGGCACTTTTATCACACTGACAGCATGCTAGAAAATAGAAAACATTGAGCTCAAAAGACAAAATCATTATACTCAAACATATTTTGTCTGAGTTAAGAACTGAGAAGCAATTGTCTATTGGTTCTATATTCAGGTACGTTCTTGACCTATCTTGATATTTTTTTGACCTTGGACATGTCTGTCTATACACATTTTTTAAATCCGCATGTTGTATATGATTATTTATTATTGCATGGTCATTCTGTGGGTGCTTCTTTGTAGTATCACAATATCTGTTTCTGCATTTCTGTAATCTACAATGATTCATTTTTGAGTTTTACTCAAAGCTATTAATGTTTTATTAGTCAATTGAAGTCATTCAAATGTAAGTCATTAAAAATAATAGTTTAACAGTAACTTATTCATGTGTGAATTTTATGCTTTATGAGAACTGGTGAAATCTAACTTGAAATCAGTGGATAGTGTCTGAAAAAACGTATTATTCGAACCGTAACTCAAAGTTTGAGACGAGTAATACAATTTAAATGGTTACTAATGAGCAAATAAAAAAAATGCAAAGAGCACAAGAAACAATGATTATCAATCCTTTAAATTTTAAGCTGATTTGAATTCTATAAACATTATATTCCTCTTATAGGAATACATTCTGATATGACTGATATCAAAAGATATCCATTGCGGTAAAGGAAACAAATGCATAGCCTTTAAGTTAAAAATGTTTGAGTAAATGTTCAATGAAGCATTTTTGAAACAAGAAAGTGCAATTCATTATTATGTGTACATTGCAGTAAGCAAGTTGTGCAAATCATTACACAGACAAAATTGTTAAAATCACAGAGCAGGATTTGAACAAACACACAAAACAACCTTAAAACAGAACAATTTTCCATAAACCCCCGACTTATTAACACACAACACAGCATGACATAAAGTAACGCATAACCTATAAGCAACAAACTTTACTCAGAGTTATTGTGTCAATAAAATTTGTAGATTTATATATTTGTGAAAAAGTAATAATACCTTTTTGGGGGGTTAAATTGCTAAACAGTTCACTCTCAAGGGGAAGTTGTGTTGTTTTGCCCTTAGGCTTTCCACTTATTTTTCAGTTCAGTAGGCAGTACAGCTGTCATCTCTGGATCTATGATCAAAGCCGGCACACACACATGGGTACAAGCCATACCGATCACTTCCTTTTTTTACGTCACACTCAGACAGGGCCAAGTAAAGTAACAGTTTAACTCAAATGTGTGGAAACTTTTTTATAAAACTGGTGTATACTAAAGCCATCAGAACTCAGCAGTATGATTTCACAAAACAGGAAGGTTAACATGCTTATAAAAACACTAAATAAAGAGAAAAAAAAAGAAAGAAAAAAATCAAGGCATAACCCAAAAATAAATATTCTGTCATCATTTATTCACCCTCATGTTAACCCAAACCCGTTTGACTTTTCTTCTGTCTAACATAAAATGAGGTGTTTAGTAGAATGTCCAAGCTGCTCTTTTCCAAACAAAATAAGTGGATGGTGACCAAGAATTAATAAAGAAAGTCAGGTCAGATTTTGGGGTGAACAATCTCTTACACAATCTCGTAAAATCTCTATGCACTCAACATCTTCTAATACTGTTACAGGTCTCTGTGTTTTTCAGTAGAAAGTCTCACAATACAATATACAATAAACATGGTGTAGTGTCTGGACAGAATATTTGTACCAAAATTTGTCCGGAAAGTCTTCAAAGTAACAATGCAACAGTACAGCCTGTTAAAGTTGGCTGAACACTAACCAGCGTGAAGTGCAAAGGAAAATTTTTAAACGGAAGCAGAAAGAGTAATCATCATAAACGTGACAAAGTAACAACAGTCCAGTGACGTAGATCTCAGCCCCCTTTCTGTGTAACAAATTAAAGGCTGACTAGAAGTTTCAGCACTGCTCTTATTACACTCTTATGCTACCCTGATTGAACCACTGCTCTCACCTGAGCCACAAACACAGAGGGTCAACTGATGGAAAGAGAGTCAAGTCACTTAAAGAGGGATGAACTTTGAAAATGACCAGATTTAAAGGACAGCTAACTAAAAGGGGACACTGCAATACTTTGTCTCACCAAGGACTTCAGGACAAGCAAGCAGAACAAAGCACACTGGGAACCTCTAATGGACTATTGTGCGCTTCTGTGAAGGACAGCTATAGTACACACAGACTGGAGATAAGAATGATACTATAAGTGCATCTTTACCACTCATCCGTTGCAATGGCAAGCTCTCTTTATCTCTGCCTGCTGAGGGCAGTTTTCCTGGTGTGTTTTGTTAACCCTTTAATCCAAGGACTAAGTGGAGATGCAAACGTGGTCCAGAATCCTCATCATGAACTGGAAGAGAATCTCACTGGACTCCCAATTGTCACATTTAAATGGCATCATGTTCAGACCCCATACCTGGTGATAATTTGGGTATTTGTGGCTGGATTAGCGAAACTATCAGGTATGTAGCTTGAACTATGAAGTAAAAATTGATTGCCAGTTAACAAATAAGGAATTAAATTTGTTGTTTAACATATTCAAAGGCTTGTGTACAATATAATGCAGTTTAAGACATCAGTGGTATTCCTCATGAATGAATTTAAAGGTGACATATCATGAAAATCTGACTTTTTTCCAGGTTTTAAGTGCTATAATCAGGTCCCCGGTTGCATCTATCAACCAAGGAAATGTGAAAAAGATTGAACCCAGTAACTTTGTTTTGGGAAGCCTTTTTCTGCAAGCATCTGAGAAAACAAGCGCGTCAGATTTCGTTCCCTTGGTGACGTGGCAAAGGGATCTCATTATAATATTACCGCCCCTTAATCTGTAAGTTTCCACCCACGGCGCCATCATTTTGATTTCGCAAGCGACAACGTTGTACCAGCTCTAATGCCATGGCGAAAGTTTGAGCAAAACATGCTAACTGTTCTGTCTTTGGCTGCACAGA